CGTTCAAATTGCGGATTCTCCCGAATATTTCGACTATCCCAACGATCACGTTGCAAACCGTGGAAAATTGTAAGTCCAGAAAAATTCAGAAATCCAATAAATTACGACCAGTGAAGCAAACCCTAACGATCCCATCGATCGAATTATAAATATCGAAGGGGAGTCAACAGGGGTGTAAGTAGAATCTGCCGGTTTGTCAGTGGAAATTATTGCCGTTTTCCTGTCCGTAATGGTTGTCCAGCGTTGCGATAAACGACAGAAAGTACGGTGGGAGAGCATGGGTGAATTTAAAGGGCGTGTGCAGAAGTCGCTTTTACGCGTCGGATGCGCAACCCCGATTCAATTTATACCCTCTGGCTGCGCGTTTCCGGCCGTGGCCGCACATCTTGCTTCCAGCCACTTCGTCCGTTTCCGGGAACGGTTGGATCACGTCTTTCCTCCGCCACGTTCCTTCCACTGTCTTCGATGAAATACGGCGGACGGATTCTGTGTCGCGCCACCACGGTTCTTCGCCCCGCGGATGGACGTATAATAGGCGGACGGTGCGGCGGAGGGTTGGACGCGAATAAATCGCGTTGCAAAATGGATCAGGCGACGTACAGCGTCACGCATCGACGAGTGTCAAAACACCGTGGAGGTTGCCGCCAGTCTGGACGATGCATTAAAGGGCGGCGAGTTAATGGACAACTGGGATCCACCGGATCGAACTCCCTCTCTCTCTCTCTCTGTTTCTCTCTGGTTTCTGCACCCGTTGCTCCCGGAGGAATTGTCCCGATACGTCGCGGAGGTGAAACGTCCACGATGATGGACACTTCGCTTCGTTCGCGGACCGTATGGAAGAAAGTGGTTCCACCAGACGTGACGAGGTATGGGGGAGAGTTTTTTGGGAGCAGCGGTGACACGACGAGCATCGAGACCAGGGACTGTCGTAATTTAGCGACGATGAGTATTTAAGTAGAAATTTGTTCAAGTTTGTGTAGATGTGGATTTTTGCAGGCAAGGTGGTTTGTAATTTGCATTCGATTAAAAGGTGGATAATCTGTTCTGCTTCGTGGTGTGGAACTAACGATATTATAGGTGTGCCGTTTTGCATGAGAAAAATGTTACACCTGTGAGGTTTGTTTGGGCGAAAAATAGGGAAATTGATATTGTTGAATTATACTAATGTCGATGCCAGCTAGAGATATGTTATTTGGAATACACGATAATGAAAAGTCGATAGTAGAAAATAGATGTTAATATTGTAGGCTTTTTGGGACGGTTTACGGCTTGGCCTGCGCCTCTTGGCGAGTGACAAACACCAGACCTGAGTACCCATCGGTTCGGCCCAGCGATATCTTTGAGTCGGTTCTTAGCTTCGGTAACAGACGGACGCCGAAGAGTCCGAAATAACCTACTTTGCACGACATCCTGATTTGAGTAAAGTTCATTAGACCACCTCCTACAATATGTAAAAAAATTTCAGTGATCTTGGAATGACCTTCGAAATGACCTTGAGGGGACTTAATATGCAAGAAAAATCGACGATCTGGGAATAACTTTCAAGATGACGTTGAAGAGACTTTTTTATCGTCAATTGCACGTCATAAACTCTTCTTAGTCACTTTTTCCTCACTTTCAATAGCAGTGGGAATAATTTAAGCGTCCATTATAAATTAGACACTCTGTATATACTCGGTACACAACGAGATTCCAAACTGAATAATTTTCTTCAGAATCTCAACAAATTAACAATAACTTTTCAAGTTTGCTTCACATTCGACAAGTGTCCCAACACTTCTGATTCCAATTCTTTCCAAATCTTCTGTACACGTCGTCTATTTAGAGTTCTAAAAAACAAAACTCAAGTCGTCAGGTCCAATTTAAGAAAACTCATACCATTCTAAACAGTGTCCGAATATTATCGGGACATTCGCCGTACACCTAAGAAACACACTGAGCGTGGAATATTTCGTTGCAACAATCGTCGGCCGGAGCGTGGTGTCCCATAGAATCCGGCGATATTGAAAGATCGAAAAATGTATCTATTATATCGGACGGGCGGGAGAGACACGGAGAAACTGGATACGACGTATGCTAGTTGGAGATCCCGGCAAACTCTCCCGAGGGGAAAGCCCAGGATATTGAATATCAGATCGCGTGTCCCCGGCGTGTTTATTCGCGCGGCGTCGGCGGCGGCGGCGGCATAGGAAACAAAATCCTGTGCCCGAAGGGTAGTACACGATCGCGCGCGCCAAAGTCTTTTATCGTGGCTGAGCGTGATTGAAAATAGGTGTATAAAGTCGACGCCTGTTTTTCGCCACCCTTCCCCTAAAACCATGGGGACCCGCCCTCCTCTCGTTGTCTTTCTATCGCGGCAATATTCTACTTGCTCCTCCGATCCCAGCTCCCCGGCACAGAGGGAACCGAATGGCTCTTCTTTCGACGAACAGTCCTCGAGTGGTTCTTTTCCTTCGTTTATTATGCGACGATTAGACCGTGCAAGTTTTCGTGCATTTATGGAAAATCTGAAGGCACGAAAAAAACACAGAATGCGTATGAGATAAAGCCAAAATACGGTACACTTGGTAATATTTAGCGAATAAAATTGTTTTCGTTATATTCGTGGAAATAGGAATTTGCACAAAAATCCGCAGACTAGCGATGATATTAGTAAATTTGTTACGTGTGACGAGAAACTTTGGACAAGATTTCAATTTAAGAGCACTAGTCGCTAGAGCACTAATGTAAAGGAGTACAGTGCCCCGGGGAAAGTAAGTTTCTTGAGTCCTCCCTATATTAACTCCCTCGAGGTCACCTTCAAGGTCATTTCAAGATCGTCGACATTTTTCACGTATCAAGTCTTCTTGAGGTTACCTCGAAGATCACTCCGAGATCATAGACACCTTTTCGCATATCAAATTCCACCAAGGTCACCTTGAAGGTCGTTCCAGATACTCACTGGAAGTATTACACTTCAACTTCTCACGTTTCTTACGGTGATAAATTTTGTGCATTAAAAGATTGTAGTAGATAATACAAAGAACCTTGCGACAAGTCCAAAAAATCGTTCGAATACACCATTTAACAACCCCCGTCCGTGAAATTCTTCCGATACAACCGGGGAACAGAGAGATCCCTAGACTTTTGCCCCCGGCGGTCGCCACGGAAAATCGACCCGTTTTTCTGGTGAGCCAGCGCCGGATACAGGTCTCCGTTGTACGGTCAGAAGATCGTAGGTAGCTTTACATCGCCGCGTGTAGCTTCGGTGCACGCCGCCGCCGGGAGACAAACGGCGGCGGTTATCTCAGAACGGCCGGTGGAGCGAGGAGGAAGATAAAGAGAAATAGGAAGAAGAAGAAGAGAGAGGGAGAGAGAGTGGTGGAATCGGTAGGAAAACGGGTGTCTGCCAGAAACAGGGTGGTTGGGCGTCGGAAGAGGGAATAGAGGAAGAGAGGAGAGACGTGGCGGAGTAAGGAAGATGGGATGAAAACATCGATTGCAGGGGCTTGTAACACCGCGGTACGAACAGAGGGATCAGGCCGAGCGATAAACCAAGCGGCCTGGAAAATGCCGGATCAACGGCGCGATGTTTCAGCAAAAACTGTCTGGAATCGGTACAGCCACGGCTCAAGGAGAACCGAGGAAAAGGGGGGAGTGCCAGAGAAATGAAACGGGCCGTAGAAAGAAGATGGAGAACTCTTCCTCATTTCTGCCTCTCTGCCTTTTCTACTCTAACCCACTCGCTCTACTACTCTACCCCCTTTCGACCGAACCTAAACCTGTGTATATATGTGTGTATATATATACGTATATACACGTGGACCTTTCGCGTTATATGCGACATTATATCGCTTACACCCCTGTGGACTCTGCCCCCTCTCTACGTCCTTCCCTGGTCCTCGTGAATCCCGACGGATTTATGAGGAAAGTAATACGAATTAAACTGACGTCTCTGTCCCTTGCTCTCTTCTGTGTTACGTACGCGTACGACGTGAACGGTGGAAAGAATATAGGAGAATATAGGATCAGTGAAGAAAAATTTTGTATCAGAGATGAAAATGACGTGGATGGAATTTGTGTGTGTATTGTTGTTTCCGTGGATTGGAAAGTTAATAGGGTAAAAGTGACAGTCTTATCGATCTTTGTAAGGTGTAGAGATGTATTCTTTTCGAAGGAGTAAGAGATGTTTTTTTTTTCTGATGTAATTTGAAAATTAATCCTGACATCTATGAAGGATCGATGAAAGTTCTAAAGGAGTCTGTCTTTCGGCGGATCTGTTACCTTATGTCGGTAATGTATCTGTATAGGGTAAATCGTTATATCGAGATGGAAATAATCCTCGGTAAAGTAGATACCTAATGGAAAGTAAAGATAATTCCATCCGCGTGCTATTGAAATATGTATGTAGAATTCTATATTGTTCACGGCTAGTAATTTTTTACGTTGCAAAGAGGAATAACATATTGTTGATTCGAGGTTCTAATAATTGTTTTATTAATATTGATATTATTTTGCAAGAACTACGATGTTTGATTTAGAGATTTGAAAAAAAAATATTCCACTGGCGCCAGGCGCCACTTGCGGTAACACATTATACTCGTATACGAATATCTTTCTGACCGATAAGTCAGAACAATTTCGCGTCGTCGAATAGCATGTTGAAAAAAACATAACCTGTTGACATAATTGAAGTACAGACTAAGTACAAAATATGCGTATCTTTATATGCAAATTTAATAAAAGAATTTTTTACATCTGCCGACGACTTTACCATCTTCGATGATTGGATTGTATGTAATTTCTAAACTCACCGCTTTATATCGTAGAGGGCATAACAAAAATTCTAATTTTTTACACGATCGGTATTTCAGAACGTTACACACGAAAGTACATTACGTGTAAGGTCTATGCTGTACCTCGTCTTTAGTCAGACGCGTAGTCCCATAACGTGGCAAGTCTATTTTGTACCTCGTCTATGATTAAAACACTGCGATAACGTGACGTGTCACCATTTTGATAAACAAAACTCGACGGTGCAGTTACTACATTTCACAGGTATATACTACGTTTGTCTTCTTATTTCGATGAATCCCGTTGCTTTTATCCTATATTCTGTCATAAGAGCACGAAAAGCTGACGCGACAACGGTCGGTACTATCCGGTTTAAATACATATACGCACGTGTACATACGCGGGTGTGTAGAAATTTATACACACATATTCATATACATATACTTCCACAATAAATGATAGAATTGAAATGCTACTTAATTAAATATATCGTTTTACATTATTCTTACAAAATTAAACGTTTTAATCGTTATTCACTGTAATAATTCTTCACTTTTTTTCTACAACATTCGTATTTCAATCGACGCGCTGTACGGTGGTGCCTTTCGTAGAGAAAATTAAAACTATCTTAAACTAGACCGGTAAAAACGATCGAACGGAACATTCACGAACATTTTACTAACAATTTAATTGCAAAATTGAAATAAATACAAGAGGAAACGTTATTAGCATTCAGATCAACGATATTTTAGTTACCCCAGTTAAATATTAACAACGCAAATATTGCAATTTTATGCTGCAAATACCGAGATAACTCGGGTAATTTGATTTCTTCGTTTTTATAAAGAAAAATAAATTGTTAAATACAATTTTGCTCGTCGCGTATCGGTAATTTTTTCTGAATAACAAGCAAGTGCCTCTTTTGTGAAATGTTTACACTGGTGCATTTTTTAGTGATAAATTTGTGTAAATGTCTATTTTTAGATATTGTTGATAACCTAATCTTTTTTTGTTTTCATCGGTAAAGCATCAGATATTCTTTAAGCGATGTTCAAGCAAGATAATATTTGTGCATTGTCAAGTGCTGTTTTTAGCAAAGGCTACGTATCTGCTTCATTACATGTGTTCACATTGATAAGAACCAAAAGGGAACACGTATTACGTATATACAGCATATTAGACGATAATCGACATCTGGTATCAATTTCTGGAAATTCCAAAATCCGTTCATAAATCATTCAAATCGTGAACACGTTGCAATTTCATTGTGAAAAGAGATATTTCTGCGTACGTCTGCGTTTTCAGAACCTCTCGTAGAGCAAAGGAAATAGAATAACGTTTCGTTAATTGTTTATCGAGTGTACTTACGTGGATGTGTAAAAGTGTTTGTACAATTTGTTTCACCGACAGAAGTAGACCCGTATCTAAATAGTGATTCACTGTGCGTTAACGTCGTCACACGGTAATGCATATTTTACGACTTCATTTATTTCGATCGTTTTTCTCGATCTCTGCTAATTAGCGACAGATTTTGAATACGGAAAGGAAGTGTAAAAAAAACAAATACACTGTAAGTCGCGGTTTTTTATTTAATTTCCCGATAATTACGAAAACAGAGTAACGTGAAGTCAAGTGAACGGATAATCGTCTGGCACTTAACGAAATCTTCGCGCCGTTTAGGAGACAGATCAAACGACGCAACGAGTTCGCCATCTTGTGGAACAACGTCATTACATTAATGGCGGTAACCTGATTCGCCATTTTAATCCGGAGTGTCGTTGCTCGCGTTGGAATTCGTTTCTACACGATTTTTATGCCGATTTTCGGACGAAGACTCGTCGTGTCGCCAACGGCACGATCGAATATGCCGGAAAATTGAATTCTTCGCCGCAGTGCGGCCACAAAGCCCCATTTCTCTCGAGTATCTCGCAAAGCAACAAGCTCCTGTACTCGAAAGAAAGAAAACAAAAGAAACAAACATTTTTCGTGAACAAAGAGCACTCTGGGAAGCAAACGTTGCGGAACAATTTGATTAGGATGGAGTGCTTTGACACACATGGGGGACACTTTGCAAATCCCTTTTATGAATTTGTTTCAGGTATGTCGCGCAATGGAAATGGGAATTGCGACGTGGAAACAGAAGAGCATGTTCCCATTCTGCGACCGGATGAGAAGCTACTGAAGAGGCTCGACACTTTGGCGGATCATTTCCAATCCAAATACAACATGGAGCCGTCGTTTTTCGTCAGAGTTCCAGGAAGGTAAATTTACAAAATTGTATTTTTCTTACTTCAATATACGAAAAATTTCGTATGTAATTTGGGGGACATATACGCTGCGACAAATATTTCTCTTTCAAGGACATACACGCTGCGACAAATATTTCTCTTTCAAAATCATTCTCTCCAATTAAATATCCTTTTCAATTGCAACGATACGAAAAATATTTCGCGTGCAATTTAAGTGATATCAAAGGACGTATACGCTGCAGAGAATATTTTCGTTTCAAGGTCACCCATATTTTTTTCCAATATTCGTGCATATATTGGTTTTCTCGCATATTGCAAGTAACGTTAAAATGCGTTCAGAGATGCAGTACAATAATATGACCTCTGACTCCGAAAATTAAAAATACTTTTCGAAGTAATTCATTCACAACAAAAGGTGTTTTCGTTAATCTACTTCAACAATTTATTCCTACATTTACACGAGCCTCCGCTTGTCCACCGTGTGTAATTGCGGTTGTTTTGATCATCTGTCCGCAGAGTTAATTTAATTGGCGAGCACATCGATTATTGCGGATATGCCGTTTTCCCGATGGCCATTGAGCAAGACATACTTGTTGCCGTGGCGCTCTCCAAGGGCAACGACGTTCGTCTGACCAACGTGGACTCGAAATACAAAGATTTCCAGTGCGATATGAAAAATGTCAGGTGAGTAAAAAAAATCAAAAGAAATATTTATCAATCGTTCTACTTTCGTCGAGTCTCACATTAGAAACTAACAACCAACACTTCTGAAACTGCAGTACCTTTACATCCCAAGTCCACCGGACAAGAAATATCGCGTGGTTCAATTACCAAGGACAAACTTAATACTATCCTAAGCTTTTGAGGGTATAAGTAATTGGAGTGTCGCGCTACACTTCCGGAAACACGATCCAGGGTGTAGCTGGGTTGTAAATTTACCACAGTTTACCACAAGTCTCTCCCGCTTAACGTGCTTCAGCGAAGAGGTATAATTTTATGAAGAAAAACGAAAAGAAAAATAGAGAAAACACGTTGAACAGAGAGAAAAGAAGCGTTGAATAAATTGTGAAAGAAATTTCCAACGAAAACGATGGTTTTCTCTGAGAAAACGAACTCTCTCTCTCTCTCTCACGGTTATTCTCAAGTGAAGAAATTTTAATGGCGTCCACCAACCTTAGTCCTTCGGTCCAGAAAGAGCGGAGAAGGAAAACCGGGCCGCTGGTGTAATACAAAATTCCGTACACAGCATCGGAATGCAATTTCGCCGGTAAGAAATTTCCGCGGCTGCATTTCTCGCGGGGGACGAAAATAAATGGCATTCGACCCGACATGAAACTAATTCGCCGGAAAAAAAAGAAAAGCAGCGGCGCGGCCGTTGCGCGCTGGCGAACGTTAGCAGCGGCTCGGTGGATTAAAGAGGTCGCAATAAAATGAGAGGTGGGACGATAAAGCTAGGCTGCGTAATTTCATTAGCCATGCCGTGTTTAGCGGACGGCGAATGAAAATCCTAGGTCGAACAATCTTTCGTTGGTTTACTGTACACGCAGAATCTCGAGGGAAGGGAAGAAATCTTTGTGTTATAGAGGTTTCGACTTATCGAGTTTTCGAGTAAGAGGTCATTAGCAATATCTTTTTTGCTTCTTTATTTTTAGTTTATTTTGTTAGCCAATGTTAATATTTTGCGCTTGCGTTTAGAATTTCTACTTGTTACCATATCATCAGGAGAAAAGATCTTTTTTCCTTCTTCGTCTAGTTTTTACTATTTCAATTACGTTTATTTCATCAGGCATTGTTGCGTTTAGAATTCATTTTGTTACATATATTCCGGAGAAAAGAATGAGAAACGATAGAACTGTGGTTTAATTGATTCCTTCGATCATTCACAGTGAACTGCTTTTCTGATCAAAACGCATGCACTGTTTTTATCTCTATAAAGAAACGAAACGTATCGTAGAACCGTTGATCCTGTTTGATCGATTGACTATGTAGAAGTTGACTTAGACTTGTAGAGGTTCCGAGTTCTTCTGAATTCGAGTTGTAGAGGTAAAATTAATCGCGTGAAAAATAATTCCAGTTAGCCGAAGTTTTATTTCAAGTTGCAGATATTTTTACAGCGGAGCGTAAGTCTTACAGAAGTTTTCGAGTTATCGAGGTTCCACTGTACTCACTTCGAAATTCCGTCGATCTTCGATCGATACTCGAGAGTTATTTAACGCGACGAGGAACGAATGAAATCGACGAGACGTCAAGGTGTCACTAGGACGAGCGGTGAAAGATTGGACAGGGACAAAAGGAGGAATCGCAAGGCAATATTGAAACAGATTTTCACGCTTCTTTCCTTTCGACAACGTGCAAATGAGAAATTTTCGAATTTTTCCTCTTTTTCTCTGTGCTAATTATTTTAGCTGCGAAAGAAAGATTTTTGTAACGTTTGTATCGATCTATTTTCCAAGGAAACATGTTTTAATTTCCAAATGGCCGCGAGCTACGCGGAAATGTAGAAATCGTCGGAGAGAAAAATAGGTATTCCGCAATGCGGTTGAAAACGATCGGAACAACAGCTGCCGTTTATCGCGTAAGAATCGTTGCCAGTTACATGCAGCTGTTTCTTTTTGTATCGAGCCTGAAAATCCGATTGTTTTGAGGAAATTGCGCGGCTCGTAACTCATCGATGACAGGTTCTGATGTTTTTAAAACTTGTTACCCGGAAGTGAAGTACGTCTCTGTTCCTCGAGAAGCTTGTCGACAAACAGGTGTGTAATCTTGCGGCTCATATAAAGAAGCGCGTTTTCCTCTTACGATCGTGAAAATCAACTGAAATTGATCGTTTAACAGCGTGCCTTTTGTACCGGTGCGTAAATAAATAGATATTAATGGAAAGAAAGTTTGAGAATCTTATTAAGGAGAATTGGTTCCGTGGTTTACACTGGGTGTCTCGCTTATAAATATTTTCGCTGGTGTTGAAAGTAAGAAAAAATTATAAAGAGGAGTTTGTATGATTTTTCAAGAGTTGCAGTTAGTTATGATAAAAGAAAAGCCCCCTCTATGTTATCTTGAGGGATATTCCAAGATCATTAACACTTTTTTGATTATATTAAATCCCCTCAAGATTATATTAAAAGGCATTTCAAGATCATCCAAATTTTTTTGCATGTTAAATCTTCTCAAGGTCATCTTGATCACAGACCTTTTTGCATATTTAGTCCTCTTAAGGTCAGCTTGAGGGATATTCCAAGAGCATTAACATTTTTTTGCATATTAAATACTCTCAAAGTTATATTAAAGATCATTTTAAGATGATCAAAATTTTTTTGTTCCCCAAGGTTATCAATATTTCTTTGCATATTAAGTCCCTTAAGGTCATCTTCAAGATTACTCCAAGATCATAAAAATTTTGTTACACATTGACATCTTTCATTTCCAATATACATTGCAGCCAACATCAGGCTGACGTTAAAACCTCAAAGCAACCTCAACCCTTTCGCTTCAGAAAATTATCGGCAGTCTTTCGTTTCAGCGTTCAAAAATTTTTAAAAAATTAAAAACTTACCATTTTTTTAATTTCTACTATTAAATCAAAGCGAGAATACTCAAAGGGCAAAATTGAAGAATCGAATTAACATGAAAGTGTACCAAAAGTCACCAACAGCACAGTGCGACCAAATTTTCAAAGCGCCAATAGCAGTGAAAGGGTTAAACAGCAAAAAAAATATCGACGACCTTGGAATGATACTAACTCAAGATCATTTTGAAGAACTTTTCGCATACCACTTACCATACTTACCTTTTCCAGTTGTTTTCTCCAACTTCCAACGGCAACAAAAGTAATTCCGACGTTCGTCGCGAGCGAGACACCCTATACAGCGGAAAGGTTAATCCTCGTCGTGGATGCAGCCGCGTCCGAACCTTAATGACGTCGAATTTGAATTTAACAAGACTTGAGAAAAACGAAAAGAAGCCGACCAACCGACTTGTTGCAGCCCCTCTGATTAATCTTTTTCCCGTGAAACACCGGCGAGGAGAAGGAGGAGGGTTGGGGTAACTTTCACGTATAATAACCACGGGTCTCTGCCCTGCGAGACGAGAGAAATGAAGTCGGTCGTAATGCAAACGAAAAGAGGATAATACAGGGAAGCAGCGTAATTCCCCTCGTCTTTACGACTGAATATTCCCTTGTTTTTCCCTCGACCATGTGACGAGTATATGTACGCCATTCCCGGGGTTTCCGTGAAATTTCCGAATGTTACTGTAAAAACAAACTAATCCGTAAAAGTGGAAAAAAAAGAATACACGATAAAATCCGTGCCACGGCGGGGTGTACATATATGTATGCGAATAAAATGCATAGGTAAAAGGAGCAAAGAAACAACGCGGGAATAAAATATTTGTGCGGTGCAACAGCGTGGAATTAAAAGAAAATGAATAAAAAATAGAAATTGTATGAAGTTTTGTTAACAAGGGAACTTGATAGCAGGGACGTTAATGGGAATTTAATAGCACCGTCTTGTGAGGCATGAAAAGCTGTTAAATTTTTGTTATAAACATTGTTTTATATCTATTTTAATTTGAAAGATATTAGTTATCTTTATTCAAGGGCTTTTTTCATCCCGAAGGACCGAAAAATGGCCGAAAAAGAATTGCCCGATACTTCTCTCGAGGTCCCCTACAATCCTGAAAAGTTTAAAAAAAAAAATCGGAATTTTCTAAATTTTTAAAATTTTAATTTTCTACATTTTCTTCTTTTAAATTTTCATCTTTTACATTTTCTAAATTTTCTTCTTTAAATTTTCTACATTTCCTTCTTTTAAATTTTCGAAATTTTATCTGAAAATACGCGACATCACCTTGGAAAATTCGTTGGAATAGTTCGCGCAAGGATTCCCCGCTGTGTCTTATCCAATAATTTTCTATCTGGATTGTCGAGAAAAAGGAGGAGATACGTAGAATGTCGAGGGAGGGAGCGGGCTATAACGTAATCAGGAGAAGGAGAAATAAATTTGACGTTTGTCAACGCAGTGCTTGCATCAGTGACACCGGCGATGGTCCAGACTGGTACAAATATTTCCTCTGCGGAGTGAAAGGAGTTCTCGAAGTGATCCCAGAGGAATCTGCACCTGGGGGAATCCTGGCTGCTGTTTGGGGTAACATTCCTCCTAATTCAGGACTCTCGAGCTCGAGCGCTCTGGTCTCCTCTGCGGTTCTGCTCACTGTGCACGCCAGTCAGGTGAGTACTTACCTTCTACCTCTTCGAACAGTTGTTTTTTTAGCTTCATTGGTGTACAGATTGTTTCATTCTTCGTTAACTCGAACGGATATCGTTGAAACTTTGTAATCGCGTTGTGAAATGTTTCGACGGTGAAAAGAAAATAAGTGTAGGATGAAAATGACGAATTAGAGCATATATAGAGAGAATTAGAAAATATTAGGTAATTAGAGCGAAAAGTATTTGAACGAAAATCCAAGAAAATACTATAGCGACGATGTAATGGTCTTGCCATAGAAAAGTAAAATGTTTTGACGTTAAAAAGAGAATAGAGAAGAGGCAGAAAATAAGTATAGGATAAAAATGATAACAATAGGAAAATATTAGGTCATAAGTTCACACCAAAAGCGAAAAATATCTGAATGAAAATCCAAGACATAATGGTCTTAAAAAACAGAAAACAGTTGTGGAATGAAAAGTCAAATTTAAAAGTTCGTTTGAAATATCGATCTAAATTATAAAATTCGACGCGAATTAGTGGGCAGACCTAATACTAAGAGGATCATATTGTTTTTTCTAAATGACGGTTGCTATTTATGAACATGTTAGAACACATGTCCAACTTGTGTAAATCGAGGGTCGTTTCGTTGAAAGTTTTTCGAGGAAGAAACACGCTCCTCGCAAGTTTCAAGATGAAAGATGAATGACTGTACAAAATTTTGGAGGGTAAGGCTCTTCGAGACGAAGTTGTCGCTCAAGTTTATCCTGTCAAGCAGACATTCCACGTGAACGACGGGGAAACTTTTTAACTACACTTAACATATCCGTTAGATGAAACGTGTCAGAGTTCACTCAACGCTTTCACGGCAAGTTTTATACTCGCAAAATTTCTTTTTCGTCCCTTGAACCTTGCCGTTTCGTTATTTAAGATATTTCCAAAGCTTTCGTTTCCTTTTTTTGTAAATTCATTTAAGCATTTGGGAGTTGAAATATTACCATTCTGTTATTTAAGATATTTCGAAAGTGATTGTTTCGTTATTTAAGATACTTCGGAAGCTTTTGTTTCCTTCTTTTAAATTTGTTTAAGCATTTAGGAGTTCAAATATTCCGGATCTTCTCATTTCGATATTTCGAAAGTATTCAAGCTGTCTTTATTACGATCTCTGTTATCCACCATAAAAAAAAAAAGAAAGAAATATATTTGAAGGAAGAATTTCGGTCACATTTATCGCGATTCCCATTCGCGAAAAAAACGGTTCGAGATTTCGGCCAATTATCTAATATCGCGGCCCAATTAACGACGCCATCGCCGTTTTCATCGTTCACCGTAATACTCCCCTATCCAATCTCTTTTTCCCCACGCTTAATCCTGACGTTAATGTCTGTCTAAAAAAAAAAACTGTCCAAAATATTCCTCACGCCTCCCGCGGGATTATTCCGTCGCTTTTAGAGCGACTCTTGCTGCGATCATCTTCATCCGGGATATATGTAAAGACTTATCAAGTCGATCTGACTTTACTCTGGATAACGAGGATGTATTCTAATATTCCACGCTGCAGAGCTTCTATTTTTCAACGCGTGAAAAAGAAAAAAAACCGATGGACAAGTCACTTGAAAAGGAATTCGTGGATTTAACACCTCTTGGAGCTGGCATGGGCAGTTTTTCCTGATTCTGGGGCCAAATTATCATTCTCTCCTCGAGTCTAGGCCCAAACTAAAGAGGAAGATACGAAGTATGAAAAAAAATGTGTGCAACTGGAGAAATATTTGAAAATTGTGGAAAATCAGTGACGAAACAGAGGAAATCCTGGAAACCAGGAATGTTTAGCAAATGAGGAGCGCAGAGTTAGAGCTTGCAGAGTCGCTTAACATGCAAAACAGGTTACACTGAAAAAATGGAAAAAACAAGTGTCTACGATTGGAGAAATATTTGAAAATCTTGGAAAGTCAGTGACAAAAGAGAAGAAATCCTGGAAACCAGGGATGTTTCGCGCACAAACGAGGAGCGCAGAGTTAGAGCTTGCAGAGTCGCTTAACATACGAAACAGGTTACAGTGAAAAATGAAAAAACAGTTTCTGCAATTGCAAAAATGTTTGAAAATTAGTGAGAAAAGTGAAGAAATCCGGGAAACCAGGGATGTTTCGCGCACAAACGAGGAGCGCAGAGTTAGAGCTTGCAGAGTCGCTTAAGATGTGAAACAGGTTACAGCGAAAAACTGAAAAGAAAAATTTCTGCAATTATAAAAACATTTAAAAATTGTGGAATATCAGCGACAGAAGAGAAGAAATCCTGGAAACGAGGGATGTTTGACGAGCAAACGAGGAGCGCGGGGTTAGAGCTTGCAGAGTCGCGATTTGTAAGGCTACGTGATTAACAAGCTGCACAGGGTATCAGTGTCACATTCCCGTTGCATCCGTTTCGTTCTGATTAAATCACGTATACACACGCAGCTCGATCATACTCCAACGCGTGTTGTCTCTACGCAGCTGCGCCGTTTTCGAGACAGAGGAGGAAAGAAGATCTCTCTGCCAGAGAGATAAGTAAAATCTCGTCGTTCTTCGTCCCTCTTTTTCCATCCTCGTGGTTTCTAAGATCGATGAGAAAAGTTCCCTGGACCCTAATGTCTCTTTCGAGCGAAGTCACAACCACCGCGGACCTTGCCGGCCTTCGGAGATTATGCGTCGAGTGCCTTCGAACAAAATGCCCCAAGAATTTCTGATACCTTCCTCTCCATTACCCCCCCGTTCCCGTCTCTATCAGACGCATATAAACGTACTCTCGCGGAGCCGTTTTGCATATGACCAACGGAACTTCGTCGTGTAAAATCGATTCCCCCGACGTCGCTTAAAGCGAACGATATTACAGTTACCGATGTGGATATTGCGAATTTCGCCAGCTGGATAAATTATCAGCCACGATATCCGCGATTTGCCAATCCGCTGCCAATTTCGACCACGAATTTCAATATTTCTTCTCTCCCTTTCTTCGTGCGATTCCTCTAGTCTCGATTGGGTAGGTGTTTCACCGTGTATCGATCATGTCTGCATGTGAGAAAAGCTGTCGCTAGTTCTATCTGCGGTTGAAAAGCTCGTAAGATGAGAAGATTTTGTTTCGTTGATTGAGTGAGAAATTGTTAGGATTTCTTACGTTGCTATGATTGTTGGAAAAATTGAAACTGTTGTTAGTAAGGTCTGTTGGGCTTTTTCGAGAAAGTAGACACAAGATCGTAGACTTTTAACCCTTTGCAATCGAGTGGCGACTGAGAAGCGACGTTCAATAACCGTCACTTGGTAAATAATTAATGAAGACAGAGAGCAGATCTATGGGCCTTCGTAAATTTGTTTATCATAGTGAAATAGAGAGTGCATTGAATATTTAGATGAAATAAAACACTTTATTTCTACGTTAGTTTTTGAAAATTTCAAAGATCCGATTTGCAACCTTTCCTACTGCAAAATCACCTCCGAGTGCAAAGGGTTAACATTGTTATGTGATTTCTAGCGATATTTTTTAGGACTCAATTGCATTGAAATAAAAAATATTTAAAAAATGAAGAAGGTTTTAACTATGTTATACGTGTATTTCGTATGGGGGAGGCAAACTAAAAGGTTGAACACTCTGTATAGAGTGTATAAATTGTATCTTTCGTGATTTCTTCGTTTTCCTGTTCGTCGGTGTTTCGACGTTTTCCAATGGGACTGGATGCGACGCGACGGTTGAAACAAGTTTAATTAGCGATTCGTCGCCGTACGAATTTCAGCCGACTCGAATGGTAGCAAGTTTGCCTTTTCTAGTTGAAACGTTCTTTATGTATTGTTCTCGCAATTACCCGGTCGATCCACTTAGAGCGAATGTTTTCGAAACGCGGCGATATTTGCTTCTGTGTTCTCCTCTTAATGGCTGCGAATTAAAAACAAACATAGTGCCGGGGACAATAGAGAAGGAAAGAACTGGAAGTCTGAAAAGCGGAAAATCGATCTGTGCGTGTAGTACGCGTTCGTTCGCGATTTGCTGCGAACTTGGTTCGCGTGTGGGAGAAAATGTGTTTTACGAGGGCACGACAAGCGTTGTTTAAAGCAGGAAAGATTCTATAGGGCGACTGTTAACTGCTGAACGATAAGAGTGGAGTCGAAAAGCGACGGAGGAGAAGTGACCTTGACCAACTAAAACATCGGTTCGCACTATAGAATGATCATTTCCAAATAATTCCCATAAAAAAAAATTCATATTCTAGAGAAATCCGTAGAAGTTGTATTTAATACTTTTTCAATTTAGAAAAGTGAATATTAAAGATTTTTCTTGAGTCACTCGAGAGTGAAATTTATTAATTTACAAGGTATTGAAAGTGCTGGAGAACTAGACACATAACGAGAATATTCCCGAGAGCTGTGGTAGAAAAGTTTTCAGATGGAAATGTACCCTTAGACGAACCGATCGTAAACTATATTCATACAATACTCCGGTATAGGATCGTTGCTCGAGAGGGCGTGGCTTACTGCCCGAAAAGGCGTGGCTTACTGCCCGAGAAGGCGTGGCTTACTGTCCGAGCGAATTTGCTGAGCGCCTTTCTCCTAGAACCTTCTATTTTGCTTACTCGAACTATACACGCGACTGACGTCTCTGTGAATCCTTCGATCACGACTCATTTAGGCCCATTTTACAATTGCTCCTATTCGAAGTGTTCCAAATGAAACGTGAACTTTCGAAAGAAGTAGAGAATTGTTTTTCTGTTCCAGCACAAGCTGTCGAAGCACAAGTTGGCTACCATTAGCTCCAGGGCTGAAGGATACATCGGCACCCAAGGTGGCGGTATGGATCAGGCTATCGCGTTTCTTGGTAAAGCAGGTAAATCGTTGGTGCTTCACTTAGAAACAAGGAAATTGTCGATAGTTTCGATCGTTATTGTGTAATTTACGGGTGTAAGTATGTTTATGGTAATACTTGTTAATACTCCAACGAAGGTTCTGCAATGCTAATCGAATTCAACCCCTTGTGTGGTACCGGCGTCACGTTACCGAAAACCGCAGTGTTCGTAATTGCGCACAGTCAGGCTTGTCACAACAAAGCCTCCACGACGGATTATAATTTAAGGGTTGCAGAGTGCCGGCTGGCTGCACAGGTAACGTTGCGATTTTTTATTTTTTTTTTTTTTTTACAATTTCCAATGCAAATTCTAGATGAATGATTTCGTCGTAAAACAGAGGTGCGGTAAAACCGTGAAATTTATTCGTAGTGTTTTGCATTTCGAGTAAAATGAATAAGCCTCGTTTCATTTTCAAACGACGATGGTTTATCAGTCCTTACGTACATTTTACCGCGAACTAATTAATTAAATCTTAGTAAGTTTCTTTGCTTGAGAATCTTCTGAACAAACTCGCTCGAATTATCTCGAATTGAATGGCACGCCGAGTTAAGTTCCATATTGAAACAAAGTTAAACACAGTTCCCTCTCTCTCTTTCTCTCTCTTGGTAGAAAATATTTATGTAATTATTAACGACTGTGTCATCAAGATGAAAGATTGCGGAGGAGTTACAGGAACGCTCGGTAATGCATTCGCTCGATTCGTTCGTTGCTTTGAAACGATATAGAACACTCGAAGAATCACTCGAACATAGAGTTTCAAAGCAACTAATAAGATTGGGCTTCGATTAAGTTTTACGGTTGTTAAACAACCGACTTTGATCGATGCACGTCGACAAAAGGTATTCTACCCTTCTGTTCGGAACAACCGAACTCGCGTGAACAATCTGAACAGTCTGTGTTCGAGCAAACTAACACTGACGAGGGATCCTCCAGAGTAGTAATTACTTCAAGAATACTTTCGCCCCTCTTCCTAATATTAAACGTTTTTTTGGATTATTGAATCCGCTGTTCCTTTTGCTGTGGTAGATTTTAGTGCGTGAAATCGCAATCTTCCCTTTGAGGATTTGTTCTTATTAACAGGTTCAGGACGGTGTGACCCACCGTGGGTCATCGGAAAAAATTAGAGATTGAGAAATTAAGTATTAATGATAATAAATCGGTACAATCGAATTTCTCTGTCGTCCTGAACGTGTTAAATTAAGAGGAAAGTGAGTGACAATGCTGAATTGAAATTTTATAATTTGAATATTTAAACTTGGGAATCTTAAATTTCATTGGCTGAATTTCAAACTCGAATAATTTCAATTTCATGGACTGAATTCAGGTGGTGCTTACTTCAATGGCATTGGCTGGATTCAAATTTTCCATATTTCGATTTTCATTGGTTTAACTTCAAATTCGAATAATTCCTAGAATTTAATTTTGAATGATTTCAAAATAATTTCGGACAATTTCAAAATAAAATTCATCGACACGTCTTACATCGAACTCTCCTAAAAATATCCTCAAGCAAAGTTAATCCTATCGTTTACAGATAATAGCGAAGAAAAGGAAGAAGCCGTGGGAACGTGTACAGAGATTAATCAACGTTCAGGAAAGCCTTGGCCTAAGCGTAGACGAAATGGTATCCGTAGTAACAACAGAGCTTCACGAGGAACCGTACACTCTGAGCGAGGTATGCAGTTGACGTAACATCGATAACGATAATGTCGAAATCACTTCTTGAAACATTGCTTCAACAAGAGAACTTTATCAATCGACGACCAAAAAACAAAAAAAAACCATGACACTTAGCATCTGTTGCGTCTCTCTCTCTCTCTCTGTGGTTTCATATTCATCGTTTTTCACCTTATAACATAAAATAGATCAATCGATTTCCAAGGCTACCATTCCCTAGCCGTGCGCGTTCTTTTTTTCCAGATCAGCAAGAATCTCGACACAACGAACGAGAAGCTGAAAGAGATCTCGTTGCTGCGATCTTTCAGCGACTCTCAGACGTTCAAGCTGAAACAACGCGCGCTTCACGTGTACAACGGTAAGAGAATTTATGGAGAACGTATGGCGTATAAAGCGGGAGTGAGATATGTTTGCCACTTCGCCGCCAACAGGACTCGTATTTATCAATTTTCAAACAATATCCCCAAGAGAATGCAAAGTTTCCACGTCGGTAAACAACGCCTTATTTATACGGTAATTTTTCCGGGGCAGAAAACTTCCCGCTTGATTTCAGCCGCACTTTTACGCGCGGAATAATTCATGTATGCAAAACAGGCGCCATTTATGAAAGAAGTGTAATTCAACCGCTTGCGGGTAAATCGCGAAGGAATTCTCCGCGCGTTAGGTCGCCTAGACAAATCCAGGAAACTCTTCCAAACGAACAAAAAGAGAGAGAGAGAACAAAAAAAGGATGCTGTGTCACGTCGATGAAGAAATCGACGGAATCTTTGACCCGGTTGAGAGGAGAAACACCGGTATCGCTTATCAATCACTCGCATGCATTCTTTCGTGAAGCAATAAATTTCCGCCACGACAGTTTATCGATTGCTACCACACTATTTGTTCGTGTTTGGTTCAAGCCATAGAATTTATTGGCCTGGAAACGCTGCGAAAACCGCACAGAAAACTCTTTGGCTGCTTCCATTTTACCGTTTTTTTTTTCCCCCACTTCCGCTCGTCTAACCTTAGACCTCGTTAACTCGAAAAGGGATGAAACTTCCTTTTGAATATCAACCGACTATATAGGCGAAACGTCACGAAAAACACTCTCGAGTAATGTGAAAATTCCGTGAAACATCTGGTTTTGTCGATGCGAAGGTAGCCACGTTACCTCGTTAATCTTGCATGAATAATGGCCAACGTTCTTTTATCTGGCTACTTAAAACGATTGAATTTCATACGTCGAACACGAACATGGAAACACACAAACCATACACACGTATACAGTGTGCTTATATTTTCGCAAACGAACCAGGCACGCGATGATAATGCAACGGTCGAATAGGGTGCACGTTCAAGTACGAATGCACATGTACACCGTGTCTCCCCTGTGTACACTATAGCAACGATTATTAAATTTCGATCGATTAAACCGTCGTACGATTGCGTGTATTTTAGAGGCGGCTAGAGTGGTCGAGTTTCGACGCACCAGCGAGGAGAATGGTATGATGGAGGAGGAGAAGCTGCGACAGTTAGGCAAACTGATGTCCGACAGCCATACCAGCCTGCGTAAGCTGTACGAGTGTAGCCATCCCAGCGTCGACGATCTCGTTGACAAAGCAACGGCTTGCGGTGCACTGGGGGCAAGACTCACGGGAGCTGGGTAAGTGAAACCTTTGCACCTGGATGACACCTTTGCTGTTTGCACTACTTGCGAATTAAATTTAAATGTGAACGTGTCTTGTACGATTCGACCAGTGAAAAGAACCATAGAAATACTGTGTAAGTTGTGTGTTTGGTATAGCTAGTGGAAGCGATATAGCGAGGTCGTAAATTAAATCATTAAGGGGCATTGCTTAATTCGTTAAACATTTGAGTAGGCTTCTCTTTTGTGGAGAGAATCGTTTAATTAATTTTCTTTACTTATGAGGCGGGGCCCAGAATTTTCTCCATAGCATTTGCTTTATGGTCGCATAGTCTCTGCGGTTTTGCAGGACACACGCCTTTCTGGTGTGTCATTAACCCTAGATAGTTAATTGCGTATCGTAAAGACACTCTGTGATAGTCAAAGGCCTGAATTTCGTTAGAATCGATCACCCTTTGGGTCTGATTCTCCGGTCACGACTATATTCCCCCACTCTGCTGACTTGGAACTGCTGGAGTGGGGGGTATAGTCGCGGCTCGCGGAGGGCGTGGCCTTGGGATTGCTAACACTGGTAACGCCCCCTTCGCTAGCCTTGGTAACGCCCACAACTTGGAATTTAATATAAAAATGAAATTTTTTACCACACACAGCAGTTAAAAATAATCATACCAAACTACAGTACACCAAAATTTATTAATATCGGTGACTATTGCTTCGGAGTGTTCCCTTGTTAGACTCACTCAGACCTCGAACAATAATCCATTCGAAAACGTTTGCTTTCTTTAATTTCATACAAATACGCCCGTTTAAAAGTTGCCGCAGTTTACGTAAACGAACTTTACAAATCCCGCGCAAACTCTAATGTGAATCGCAACGGATGGATGGAACATTACGTGCATGCAAAATTTGTGTATAGATTGAATTTACGTAGATTTGAATAAAACGGAAATTACACTATTCTACTTACTTCAGAGCGGTAACGAGATTCGTTAAAAAGTTTCCTCGCTGATAACCGTCCATTAATCCAAGGATTAATTCGTTGACGAGTTTGCGACACCGGTTACGATCTTCCTTTGTAACTATTGCGAGTTTCATTTTAGTAACCACATTTTTGCCAGTGGAAATGGATGTTATAAAGTAGAAGGATCGAATGAGAGAGCGACGAGGATACGGAAACTTGGTTGGGAACATGGGTTAATCGTTTTACAATGAAAGTGTAATGGATTTCGCTGGGTCACAAGGCAGCAGCCAGCTTGAATCACATTAAGAATAGATTACTTCATTGTTCAGGATATAAGAGAGTCTTCGTTAACGTTTATTTTGCATGAAATTATTTCGTGCATCTTTCAATGTACCGGAGAAATCATTCATAAAATAACGCCGACCTGTCACCGTCCGATACACAAACTCGAGGAACGATATCGAATCGATCCATGGGCGTGTTTCAGTAACGAACAGTACTATATCGAAGTACTTTTACAACGCTATCACACGCAAGCGTCTAACGAGCTCTAACGTCACCGAAAATGTTTTGGAAATTATCGATTACCCGAAATGTCACCTCCCTTGATACCTGCCTGATTTTAACACTGCAATCGCGCCACGTTTCAATTTCACCCTCTATAGACATGTGTTTCGTAGTATACGGTGAAATTAATCAAACGACACATTCGTTGCGATTTTTATTTTGACACAGATGGGGCGGTTGTATAGTGGCCATAATAACGAAAGACAAGGTTTCACAATTTGTGGACGCACTGAAGAAGGAGCTAGCTCGATGCGGGATAAAAGATGGATTCAAACTCGAGGATCTGGTCTTCCCGACGGAACCGAACCAGGGTGCTGCAATTTATACGATCTAATTCCCTCTTACCACCTGTTTCCTCACCTCGCCACGTGCATTTTACAAATCGCCGGCCAATATATTAATCAAAACGGCTTTCTCAATTATCTGCATAGAATTATTTATGCGTAAGAAATGTATCTTGCCAGTAGTAATACCTCGCTTTGCTCGCACAAAGTCTGCGAAGAGGCTGAAGATTAAACTTGCAGAGCTGTGAAAGCTCTTACGAGTCTTCTACCGTCGTTTTATACACCCAATCAAAATGGTAACATTGCGCTTGCGGTGCACTTTGGGAAAGAAAATTTCCTGGTCTATGTATCCAATGTATTTTATACGAGCAAATCTCGTTCCTTATCGATTACGATCTACGGTACCTTTCACCAGCTAACGACACGTTTATTCTAAGAAATAATTACATAGGTGAATTCGTCGTTGAAAAACGCATAATTTCTACCTTTAAAACATTTCTCTATCTGCAATAGTTTCCGAGATATTGGACCAAATAGACTCCGACTCCAACAGGTTCGACGCCGTAGGTTTTCGCTCGAGCCTTGAGGGCTGTTTGTCACCCCTTCAAAATTCACGTTGGCGGATAAAAAAAAATACGTGTCTAATATTTTTTCGAGCACTACGTCGTACTAAAATTTCATGAAAATCGGTGATGAACATGTGATCCTTATTAGACTAATTCGTATTATAGTTAACGATATTTCTATTAGTAATTGTAGCATTAAATCGTACTATTTTGTAAGTTTCTGAGAGGCAATCTGAAATATACAAACCTGAGATTATACTACCGAAGATGTTTTCTTTAAATTACACCCCATTTTATTGGTCTAAATAATACACAAACAATACATCATGATTTTTTGTAAGATCCCGAACCCTCTTTCTTTTTTTCCCCACCGCCTCATGATTAAATGTATTAGAAGCAGAGACGAAGGCTGCTCGTCATCCCAAACTGATTGACGATTAGTAACGCAAAAACGAAGGGGCAGGAAATTAAGGATCCGTTAGGCTTTTCGCGGAAGCCTGCCCATTTTCGTGAACCGGTCGAAAGGTCTGACTGTCATTAACGATCAACGCCGAAATTACACAGAGAACGAAACGTCCTGCGTCAGCTTACATAATCCGGGAACTTAATCAAAGTTGAATTCGAAAGGATAAACCGGCCGGAATGGAATTTATCAGGGGAAAATTTCCATTCAACCCAGATATCCGCCTAAGGGGTGGTCCTTACGTACCTCGATCTTGGGAATTCCATCACGAGCATGGAAATTAGAGGAGAACAACAGGCGCACAACGAAGTCAGGTGTGACTGATTGCAAATTTGTTCGAGTTTACCCCGTAACACGCGAACCGCCGCGTCAGCATGACGAATAGTATGAAAGTTGAAACATCACTGTGGCCATTGGAGAACGATCTTGAACACCGTTCAATTTTTCATCCAATATTCCACCATTTGTCTGTCTGTCGTATTCACAGAATGCTTTCTTTCTCCTTCTGTTTTTTTTCGTTATGAATACTTAAAGGGGTGCACCATCTTGAGACGTCTAGAAATAAGCAAACTTTGGGACTTTTTTTTATAGACAATGAACCGAATGAAAAGTGTCAATTTTTTCAGAGGGTATGAATGTAACTTTGAACTTCTCTCTCGAATTTTTTAAAGTAAAAATGTTACAAAATGGAGGAGTTGTTCGCTAATTGCGGAACCGTTTGGAGGATAATTAGGGGTGAAGAATGGACGATTATAGTCAATGGAAGAAAATACACCTTAGAGATTTCTTCCTTGAGGTAGGTCGGTACACTTCACATCGTACGATACGACACAGATATTGATTTCCCACCTACCGTCTATGTCAATAAATTAGCCGATAAGAGGGAGAGACTTACCTGTCGCCGAAACTTTGCTTCGCCTGTGGGATCGATTTAGGCTTTCGATCCCTAACGAAAGAAACGTCGAATTGAAATTCAAGAGGACCGTATCCTCTCGATGAAAATTTGCAACGTAATGTTTGTTCCTAATTTAACTAACGAAGCAACGAGCAGCTACTTAGGGTATCGGCATAATTTCCAAGCTAATAACACTTCACAATTTACGATCCTCCAGCACCCAAATCACATTTAACCCTCAACTTATCGAATCTTCCTCGCAAGATGTAAGTTAAGCACGTTACCCCAGCATCCAGGCGTGAAACAGCTCATGAATTCGCGCGTGAAACAACAACGATCGTAAAATATCTCCGGGTAACAAGTTTGAAACTGTGCGACGTTGAAACGTAAGCGCGCGGCGACAATCTTTACGGAACACGATGGAAAAGTCCACGTCGAATAAGCTCGAAGAATTACCCGCTGGTCCTTCTTTCGTAAAGCTCTCACCTATTATCATACCCTTTCGAATACTCCAACTCGAACTTTCCCCCGTGATTGTTTCGCCCTTCGTTTCTTCTAACCGCGTTTAATTTCGTCCTTACCCTCTTCCATTAAAATTCAACGATAATTCGAAAACACCGTGAAATCGATGTAAATTTGTGCAACAACGGTGTGCACACGATTTACTCAAAAGTGCTAAACTTCCGATAGGACGACGACCACTATAACTTAGACACGGAAATTTCTCTGTGCTGGTGGACTGCGGTGGACCGTAGGAGACAAGTTAGCGTGTATTTGCAGAAGGGAAAGGACGACAAACAGAGGAAATACGGGAGGCTCGGAGCTTAAGCTCATCAAGAACCCTGAAATTGATTTATGCTGCGGTTATGTGTCCAATCTGGTAACACAGGCAGCACCTTCGTCTTTCCGGTTAACTTGATGCATTGGAAACATCCTCGTCACGGAAACTTCATTTTCCAATTGTTCGATGATGTTCGTTCTAACAGTCTGATATTTCAGCGTGCATGATTGTAGGATTAGAATGTGTTTCCTCGATCGAGATTAGGTAGGTATGGTTTAAAATAAGATGTATTTAGTTGCTCGATATATCGTTTACCATCGACGCAGCATATGCGGTCTAGAACGTATTGCACAGTGTGCTATCGATTTTCTCGTGGCAGCGAACGTGTTAAAAGCTACCGTTGCTAATTCTCGCGTCCCTTTCAACCACCACTTTCTCTCTTGCGATCTTTTCGTCGTTGAGCCTTTTAAAACGAAGTACGAGGAGATAACAGTTTTGTAATGGTACGTGGATATTTTTGTGCGAAATGTATTCTACTTCGATGAAAGTGATTATTCACGTTGACAACGCGATGACACTTAAAGAGAAGATTCTCGAGGATCGCTAGTAATGTTGCATGGAATATAAATTTAGCTGTCCTTTCGCGTAAGTGTGTTTCTGGGTAAAATATATACCAGGCAAAATAGAAGGGCATCGTGGTCCAGTAAATTGCGTTTCCGCGACGTGAACTTCCGCTCCTTTCTCCGTTTCGCTTAAAAGCAAAACGCGCTCCGCAGAAAGGGGAAGAATTAAAAAGTTTCGAAAAGCCAGCTGAGTCGTTACTTATCGGGATAAAGGGTAGCAATTCTAGTGCACGTTCCGTCAAGAATTCGATAACTTGCTTAACAATACACGAACACTCTGGAATTATCAACGAAAATTTTAAAACATTTTTTACGAAAATGTCTATCTATTTTTTAATTACCAAAAAATCGTATCACGAAGTTACAAACTTCCTTAATACCAATTTTAAATTCACCCGTTTAGGCTCGAGATAACGATTTATCCCTTTGTTTGCAAATCAAGATAACAAAAAAGAATTTTTTATTAAGTTCAAAAAATGATATTTAGCAAGTTCTCCCTAAAAATCTCTCATTCTAAAAGGGTGAACGTAGTTTCACGTAAAATAGAAGTAGTACACTAATATGTGTGGCGACACGAATGGAACGTGTCTCACCTTTAAAAATCCCGCAGGTACCAGCTGAAAAGGGAATTCTAATATTAGAAACGAAACTCTGAAAAATAGCTCGATTTATAAATATCACTTTCTTTCCACAAACACGGCCAGAGGTTCGCTTATTTATCCCACATAAATGACCCATTACGATGTTATCCTACCCCCGTGTCAGGTCAGGGGAAGTGAATCTCGAATTCATTCAGAGGCTTCCACATTCTATTGGTACGCATATGGTAAAAGCGTAGGGCTTATGTCTCCACCCTACACCGTACATGTACACACGTACACTTGTGCGTGTATCCAGCGAATTTATACCGAACCGAACGAGAAAAAGCTTTTATTTTTCGAAATACTTGTAATTGTTATTCCATCCTTAAATATTCCACCTCCGCCGGATGGAATATGAAATTTCGCGATTCTCTCGGTATAATTAAAGATAACTCGACTGGAATTTTTAATTAGAGAAACGGCGATCGATCGATTTTGTAACAAACGAACGCCTTGTTTCGAGATGAAATTTTGAACGAAGAACAGAGTTGCCGCGAATTTTCCCAAGGAAAATGTCTTTCCGAAGACACTTTTCTCTCTCGAGAGGATCGTATAATAAAACGAAATTTTACGAGGATCTAAAACGAGAACGAGTTCGCAGCGTGTCACGCAAAATTTCTGCCTTACGTTTCCTCGGATTCTCTTGTAAAGTGTACAGGTGGGAGGAAAGAGGCCTCCGCTTAAATACTGGCCAAACAAAAGCGCAAAATCTATGCTAATTTGCCACGTTCGCTTTGCACATCGTTGTCCGTGAAGTTCGTAACGACGGTTGCTCCACACTGGCGCGATTATCTTTACAAAGGATCTGCTGTTACTGCGGAAAATCTGTCTTTCAAACACCGCCACTTTACACTCTCGAAAATTTACGATAAAATCGACGAAATGTGTAAATGTTAAATATTTATTTCACCAATGTACAGATTACAAAACTCGACGAATTTACAAATTAAGCCATTTGTTTTAGAACTTAATTTTAATAAATTGCAATATTTAACAATATCTTTTTAATAATAACACATGAGATAAGTGGTTGGTTTAGACAAGACGACTATAATAGGAAAACTACAATTCATGTAGCTTTAATAGCGAAAAGGTTGAAGTTTTTATGTCGAGGGTGTTAGGTGGGTGGATTGCGTCGAGTCTCGGTGATATTCCAAGTGCAGCTTCATTTGCTGCGGTCGGCACAAGGATGGGTGACCGTCGGGTTGGAAAAAAAATTCGGATTTAATTTCTCTCTCTGTTGATTTTGGGATATATATGGGGGAATGTGTCTTCCGCTCCTCCCTTTTCCATCACCGCAATTTATGGTACTTTCACGCGTCTACTATGCGGTCGAGAAGACTGTTGCCTACAGGCGAGAGAGGTGTCCTTTCTTCCTACAAACGAATTCTCTCGCGTCCATGTTCTTGAGATAAATTCTACGAAATAGGTTCTTCTGTCTACAGGTGTCCTGATTTACACCTTGATAACCGAAGCACCCGGAAAATTGTCCGTCTATTGTAATTACAGCCAGACGATAGCAACGCGGAACATTTTACGAGTCAGAGCCGTAAATGTTTAGACACCCGTAGAATATCATTAGCGATTGTTGGCGACTTTAAAGGGAATCATCGGCCAGATAATGAGAGTCATAATCTGAACGTCACACTGGCAACGATGAAAGCGTGTTACGACTGCTGCGTAAAACTTTGATGTCCACTGGCCAATAAAACCAGGTAATTCCCGGTGTAAAACCAAGAGGAGTGGTGAATTTTCAAACTAGACCGACTGTAGAATGTATAGGCGCGTGTGAGCGATAGGAAAGTTCATCGTACTTGACGCATCGATCCTTCCCGATGGAATCGAACTTCCGCTTGTAAAAATCGAACGTTCAAGCCGCACAAAACGTCGGCAAACGGTTGCTCGTTACATATGCATGAGGCAGGGAGAGAGACGTGATTAACTTCCGCGCTAAAGGTAAGGAGGTTCGTGAACCGATCGATCGTCTTCTTCGTCCGTTCGAGCGAAAGGAGAGGAGAGGACCTTGTCACGGAGACCTATTTCTCGTGAAAGTGAACCGGCAGGAGAATTTCGCGATATGCAACAGGAAAGAGAACCCGTTCGTTTGCTTTATCTACGCTACGGTAGAGAAATGGTAAAATCATTCCTGGCAGTTTACGAGCGACGAAAGAGTAGACGCACCGATCGTAAAACATCGCGGCACGGAAACGTGCGTTCGTCTATCTTCGTGTATCCCGAAAACTGTACACCGAAACCATAGGTCGATATATCATTTGGAAATTGTTCAAAGTTTTCGGGGGACAAGATACGATGTTTCATATATTTTTCTCTCGTTTTTAGTTGCACTACAATTTCATTTTTTCATTCTTATAAAAAGCTCAACGCGAAAAAAAACTCCACTCGCAATCTCGACGATACCGAAAACGCAAACTATTCACGCGTCGCTGCCATACACGCGCGATGCTAATGAAACTAGTCTCTGAGGCGGTAACTTTTTCCATTAGCTTTCAGTGAATTTCTATGCATATCCCGCGAGAATGTGATCCTGTTTGCCATGCGAGTACAGTTCGGTGTTCCCCGCTGTGGAAATGCGGCGTGTGTCAACTAATATGAGGCATGTTATTCGGGTGGAAAAGTACGAACGAGCTTTATATTACCAGTGCGCATGCGCGTGGCTAGAGTTTTCGCGCCGCGAACGTGACGAAAGCCGGCCAGTCACCATCCAACCATCGCACGTGTCGGTTTCATGACCTGTTCGACCAACAATGTTTTGGTGTAGTGACTCGTCCGTTTCGTGTCTCGATATTACCCTCCGCGATGAATTACACACGAACGCATAGTTGGCGCCGTTTCCTGTCGATCGATTTATTCTTTTAGTTGAATGTGCGTGTTGTGTGGGATCGCTCACGCGTCTCAAGCATGGCTATCATGCAATCCTGTTGCTGCTGGCGGTCCGTGAGGAGGGGCAGCTTCGCGTGCGCTATTTATTCTGGGGTAAGTACTACGAAACACTAATTTTCGTTATATAACCTAACCTATAAACTTCGAATTAGTTTTTCTTATTGGCAAGTTGTTCGTTTCGAAACAGAACTTTATCGAATGTTCGACGTGTGTATTGTATGAAAAAGAGGAACTTTTCCATTTTGAAACGTAACAGTGTTGCCAACTGAAAGAGCTGTCGAAACGGAAATATTTGTTAACAAAGAAAGAGCGCGGTGAAAAACGTTGGTCACACGTGACGTGTGTACACATTTTATTAGCGACCACATAAACAATACGCGGTTGTAAAGAATAAATATGAAATATTGACAGACACAGTGGAAAGTTGCAAACGTGTTTTAAAGTTTCATACGGCGATAAAACACTTTTACCTTTTGCAATACGCGGTTCGTTACGATAAATGGCACATTTATGTTCGCTCATTACTTTCATTAACGCGTTTGTTGTAACTTATTGTTCCTTCGCTGCATTGGTTTCCTAGAAGCACGCGTAACCTCTCAAATTGAAAAATACGAACTTGGTTATTTCCACACGAAATCCTGTTATTAATTCGAACGATACGTCATACGGTACTGTGCTTTAGAAAATTAATATGTACAATGAAAATTGAATTAATCGTTGAAAACGGAACCCAGTCTCGCGTCAAAGAACGCAATTAAAAAGAAATGCTAAATTTGCCTGCAGTCTTTTACTTCTTCCTCTGTAATGAGAAAATTGACTTTAATAGATGATCTAACACAGACGTATAGTACGTTCGTTTTGTCTTATAGCAACGGGAAATGTACTAAATGGTACTGCATTAATTAGAGGAAAACATAAAAGTACACAACGATGAAATAAGCAAGATTTTCATTTTGTAAATTCACGGTGTTGTTTCACCTCCTATTATGCACGATTTTAATTAATAAAAGTTCGAAACGGGAGCAAGTTAAATGTTAATAAGTCCAGCATTCCGGACCAGTTTTATTTCCGCCAGGAGATATGCAATAACTGAAAAATATTCGTAAAACGTCGGAGTTAATGCGCTTCGTTATTTCGCTCTGCTCGTAAAAGACAACTATAAACAAGTGATACTATAATGAAGTGCATCGCATGCTCGCGGCCACTTACGCATAAGATCGTAAAGAACGTAGTAGTAGCTAGACACGAATGTTTATCATTCTCTGAACCTTACATGGTTGGATGAATCATTCGCAGAATTTTATAATAGAAACACTGCTCCTCTTAGCTATTGTTAACGAAATTAAATTCTTTTCTTTTTACGTCCATTGTTAATTGAATATTTCAAATAATTCGTTACGAAGCTAATTAATACTAATTCAAGATTACAATCGAGTTTACAGAATTTACAGTTCAAATGTTTTAATTTCTACGAAATGTGAAAATTACCGAGGAAAAATCCAACTTTTTTTCCTGCTCTGCAAAATATGAGGGAAAATTCGTAATACATATACCGCGCGCGATTCAATTTAAATAAAAATTTGGAAAACCTCATCCGCCACGATGTGTGCGTTTGCAATTGTACGAAATTCCTGTTCGACAACGCGGTTTTTGACAAAACCTGTAGTTTTTTCCGTGCAATTTAGTTGATTGAGTTGGACGAATTTGCGTGGAATATTTTCAACAATTTCTTTTTAATCGTTGCAACAGGAAACGCGAAACGTCGAAGTGTACAATGCTGCACTTTTTTTTACCTGTAATTCTTTTTTCTCTCCTTCTTTCTGCGAAGAACACGATTTACATAGACTTATATACTTGACCGTATACCAAGATTTAGTTCACCACTCAGCTGCAGCGGCTCGAATAAACTTGTAAGTTTGTGTTCGACGCGAGAGTTTCCGATAAAAAGCTTAGACATGCTTTCAGATATTTCTACCTTTATGTAAGTGAACGATGGCATCAAGGAGCGTACCTGAAATTCTTTTTGCCGTCATAAATTCCGCCGGTAACGACGATTACCTTCTCCGAATATGTGATTTTTCATTCGGTGAAACGATATTTTAAAAAACAGCTCGTCCGCGTGTTATTTTCGTTGTAACAATTCTGTATTATGTGTATAAATAAAAGATAAACGTAGTTTTCATCGTGGAGGTTGTTTTACCCGCGAGGAATTAAATTAAAGCATCCTGTATCGGAAACTTTCTCACACACGCACGCTGGCATAACTCGCTAACAAAATTAATTATATCGAGTTGCGTGGAATAGACTTAACTTCGTGATATTTCGGGCCACGTTGCTGTTGAACAGTTTTAATACCTTTCGCGTTGATTCGAACTTCTCATTCGTGTTTGCAGTATCGTATTCTTGTTGTTTAATTTTGTTGGTCGAGAAATACGCTCTTTTTCTTCTTTTTACAAATAAACATTGAGTTGGTAAGGAAGTTTTCTTCGAAAGAAAATTGTTTATTGAAATTGAGAGTCTTTGGGTATACTTTTGGCAATTTTTTGATCCGAAGGTGATAGAATTTAAGTGGTTTTGGAGGAAAGAGAAGCGTTTGTC